TTTTCTTACTCCGCTCTACTCTTCAACCCTGGTCCTATTTTCAACTATGTTCAGTTCATAAGATGTTAAAAGAAATGGGGATTTTAGAGACACAAAGGAAGGGCACGATTGGAATAGAAATGCGTCTGCCACCGGTCATGTGGTAATACTGGGCTCACAGAGTTGAAATACAGGGCGAGGTCATGACTTGAATATTTATTTTTATGTCTTCATTCTTTTACACAGGTTTCTTCGTGGAGTAGCCTACAGAGAGTTTACGCAACTAGTACATGGTTTTCTTGGGGGAAAGCGGATTCCACTGACAGCATGTGCCTACCATGCAATAAAAACAGAACTTTCAGAAGAGAATGAAGAATTTTTTGGTTTTGAAGATAATGAATACAGATATTGCCTTTATGACCATCATTATTTTAAAATGCAAATAGTCCATTGACAAATTTTATACTAGTTTGGACTAATATTGACTCAAAACATCAGCTGATTGCACAGAAATTATCTGTATCTTAATTATCTACAGTGCGAGGGTGACTTGAAATAATAGTGATGAAAATCTCTCCCAGTTTGTATTAAGCAATTACCAGGCAACTTATTGACCTTGCCTCAAAATAAAAAATAAAAAGGTCTGCTATCACTGTCCACTGTTTTGTCGTGCCTGGTTCCTTGGACAATCAATTAGAAGGTTGTGCCCTCTCATGGGTCTTTTGCAAACAGTGCAATTCCTTGTTCTTCCTCCACTTGATGACTGTGCTGTAGCTGCAGCTGCCTCCTGGGCAAGAACAACAGATAGCAAAATAGGAAAAATATATTTAATCCACCTTCATTGCTGATAAAATGATAATAATATGTAACAATAACAATAATAATAATAATAATAATAATAATAATAATAATAGGAACTTTATTTGTTTTTTTGAATGTACAATTGTAAATCTCACTACATATAGGCAATTTACAAATGCTGCTTGAGATTGGATTATTAAAAAGAAAAAAAAAACCAAAACAAAAGCCAAAAAAAAAAAAAAAAATCAAAATTCCATTAAGTCTGAGCTATCCCAGTTCCTATTTCTACAACAAAAGAAGTAATATGTTGCTTTAATGGCTATATTTGTCATTTTCTTGATTATAACAGTAATATTGATAACAATAAAAATCCCTAGATGACCAAAAAAAAAAAAGATTTTCCCAAAGAAAAAAGTGACTTGAGAGGGGCAGAAGGCTCAGCTAGCCTCAGATAGGGCTGTGTTCTAACAGCACATGGTGACCTCTAGCACATAACTTCTGCTCTACGGCGACAAGAAAATCTTAGAGATTATAATATTATGCCAGGCATCCTTGATTTCACAGGTTCAGGGCACTGGGCTCCCTTCAATTTGTCTTAGAACACAGCCATGATTATGGATTTTGAAGCCGATCAAGAGCACAATTGCCACATGGGCACCTTTGAAATTAAAAAGAAGGAACGTAGTATTTAAAGTTGAAGAATACAACTTTTATCCTTTCCTTTTATCAGCAAGGTATGATCTTAGTACGATAAGATTTTTCAGGCTAATAATTAAAAGGTGAGAAATGAGCGAACACTTACCAAGTCTCGGGTTCGACAATCCTGTCAAAGCGGTTTTGTAACTCCTGGTTTCTCCTTTCAATTTCTTCTAGTTCTGGGTTGTATTCTGTTAGCCATTCCTCGTCTGCAATAGGTTCATCTATATACGGTCCTTCTGGATCTGAATAGTACATATCTTCTTCATCTTCGTCTGATCCTAGCTCTGTCTCGCAGTTGTGAGTGCGCGACCCGATCGATTCCATGTCTGACTGTTCCGTATCGCTTTCAAAACTCATTATTCTTTTTCACAGTCAATTAAATTCGAGCTTAAGCGACTTTTTATTGATTTCTGCTGTTTCTGATCTAAAAAGGTCAGGGAAACTCAAAATACATTCTCCAAACACTGCCACACAAATAAGAAAATGACCTGGTAATTTGCCTGCCGCGAAATAGAATGTCCTGAAATGACGTCATAATCATTCCCAGTCTTCTGTTTTCGCTAGCGCGGTTTTGTAACTCACCGGAAGTAAAATTTCACGTTTTTGGCAGGTTAAAACACGGGGAAGAAAAATCAAAACACTGTATAGATTCTATCAAGCAAATAAAAAAAATTTTGTCATATACACTTTAAGCAGTTAAGAGCAAATGTCTGTAAAAATGGAGCAAAATCGAAATTTCCCGGCCACAGTCAAAAAATCATTTTCGCTCATATCTTGTCAATAGATAGGTATTAGTAAGTAAACTAAACGTGGCGTAGTTTGTTTTTCAAAAGGCCGCTTGGATTTGGAGAAAATCGACACAACGTGGTCGGCGACTTGAAAACAACCAGAATTTGAGGCCAAATGAGGCGGTCTCAAAACTTCGCTCGCACTCACACAAGAAGAAATCGGGGTAAATATTCTCCGATAAATCAATTTATAAAGGGTTCTACTTCCGGTTTGGTGAAAAATTCTTATCTCAACGATAATCTGGAAGATAAACAATGTTGTTTTAGTTTGGTTTCTTTTTCAACTAAACGAAATTTAAATTTAGGCTGAAAGTTGCGTTTTGTATTTTAGGCATGTATGGCGACTGTGGCGTTCATTACTGCTCAAAACACTTTGAGCACATTTTTTGACTTTCTGACACCTTTTTCATGTCCGGGGAGTCAATTCCCCAGTCAGGTATCACTTCGTAAACTTTACGACGTAATTCTTGTACACACGTCGTTACGTCGTAAAATATACCAATGTCTATATGCAATCAATCAATCAATCAATCAATCATTTATTTTAACACGTTACGTCAAAGAGCTAAAAAACTCGTTCAAAATACGAACGTGTATAAATAAAATCTATAATAATTACAGCTATATAATATTATTCAATTTTAAAAACAACTCAATAAATATATACATATAAAAAACTTGGTAATAAAAACATAAAATATAAAAGATAAAAAGCTAAAACCGACTAAAAGCCACATACTAAAAACGTGACTAGGAAAACTATAATACTCGTTCTAAAACAGTTAAAGGCTACAATCGTGCACTATAAGACGCGTTCTAAAAAGCTACAGTCGTGCAATTTACTTCTGAAGTCATTAGCCTCTCTTGAAAGACGCACTTGAGAAGACAAACTGTTCCATAACTTAGCTAATGAATAAGTGAAAGAATTCTTCTTAAATTTAAGACTAAAGTTAGGTAATTCCAAATTCAAGCCCTCGCCTACACGGTGTATGCCTGTATTTAAAAAGGCTTCCAATATAAGTAGGTCCCGTACCATTTAAGCATTTAAAAAGAAGTATTAACGCCTGGTGTAAGCACCTACAATATAAGTGTTCCTTATAGGATAGGTCCTTGTCTAGAGTAACTCCGAGAATCTTAATAGATCGGAGAAATTCTATTCTAGCATTATTAAGAAATAAAGAATAATGATAGGCACAGGGTCCGACAGATAATGATTGAGTCTTAGTACTGTTCGCTGTTAAATGGTTAGACTCAAACCACGACGAAAGAGTCTGAAGATCTTTGTTGAAGGAAACTTCTAGAATGGTGGGAGATACATCAGACAGGTAGGCAGTCGTGTCATCAGCGTACAGCCGCAATGAGACATTAGGAACACAGAAATTCAAGTCATTAATGAATATGTTGAACAGCAACGGCCCCAATAGTGAACCTTGAGGAACGCCAGATTTAACCGTTTTGAAGTTAGAACATACGCCTTCTAATCTGACACATTGTTGACGACCTAGCAGGTAGGTGGACATCAGTTCCAAGGCATGTGGAGAAAAGCCATAGGCCGTCAACTTCGCGAGCAGAAGGCTGTGGTTTATGGCATCAAACGCTTTGCTCAAGTCCACAGCGACCGCCGCTACAGCTTCCTTGTTATCAATACTGTTCCTCCAATCTTCCGTCATTTTTAGCAATGCAGTGCAGCAAGAGTGAGTTTTCATAAATCCAGACAAGTTTGAGGACAAAACGCTATGAAATGCATTCCAAGTTTGGTCGTAAATAACTTTCTCAAATACCTTCGATATCTAAGTTAATATTGAGACAGGGCGGTAGTTTGCTTTGTCTGTGTCAATCCACCGTTTAAAGACAGGAGTAAGGCGCGCTTGCTTCCATTCAGACGGCAATGAGCGATTCAGAATACAGAAGTTGATCAACTTAGTCACCTCTTCGGCAAGAACTGGGGACCCCAAACGCAAGATTCGTGGTGAAATGCCGTCTACCCCAACTGCCTTTCTCGGATTAAGGTGGTGTAAGATGTTACGGATATATGAAGTACTGACTGGGGAGTAATTAAACTCACTTGAGAAACGTAGATTGCTTATTGCCTTGATACTAGGATGGTCAGTGTAGTCAGTGTCAGATCTATGCTCTAACTGAATAATATTGGCAAAGTAATCACTAAAGACTTCGGCCACACACCCAGGGTCAGAAACAACACTACTGCCCTCAACGAGGATGACGCCTTGTATGTTTTTACCAGAACTAGTTGGCAAAAGGGGCTTCATTTTTCTCCAAAATTCGCCCGGATGTCTAGCACTCAAGGAAGCATCACAGCAGAACCTTTTCAAGGCGTTGCGCTTTAGCGACGTAACCTTGTTACGTTGCCGCTTATAGTCATCCCAAGAAGTAGATGTAGGATTCCGCTTGTGGCGCTTGAATAATTTGTTTCGGTGCGAAATTTCACGCAGCAAATCAGGTGATATCCATGGCAACTGGACGCCCCGAATCCACTTTTTCTTTAGGGGCACGTGCTGGTCAAGAACATCTTTGAAAAGTGTTCGCCAATGAGCCCATACATCATCGGCATTGTCGAATGTGTAGGCCGAAGACCATGGGACCCTTTTTAAGTCAGCCAAAAAGTCAGGCAAGTTAAAATTCTTCATACTCCTAAACTCGATCAAGCGCGGCTTTGGCCTTGAATTCTTATTTTTTCGCACTGTAAAGATTGAGTCGTGATCGCTCAGTCCAATGTTTATGTTATTTAACCATTGTGCTAAAACATATGTAAGAATTGGCCTGGGTAATTACATTTGTACTTCACACGAACCTTCTGAAGTTGAATAAATTTTGCTTGAAATATTAGACTTTTCAAGAACGTCGGTTGCTTGTTGCTCGACAAGTCACGATGGCTGGGCTCTCCAAAAGAAATTTAACTCACAATCGCACTTGTATTAAAGACATTTGTACTGGAACAACAATTTTTGTTACCTCGGTCAAACTTCTACATCCATTGCCATTTGAAAATTCTAGGTCTCACAAAAACTGCGATTTTGAAAGTGAAACTTTCGGGCTGCCGATACATTTTTGGCCATAAGAGTCTGGTCAAAACTGTTGCGTGACAGGATTCACAGGCTTCCCAATCTAACCATTTGAGTGTGCTTTTCTTTAATGTTCTTGCCAAAAGTAGCATATTATGCTACTAACAATCCAAATTGTGTTTTTTTCTTTCTTTTTTTTCTACGTTTTCTTAAAGTATGCTTCCATACAATACTAAATAAGTCCAAAAATATCGTTTTTCACGTCAACGTCCCTCCTTTCCTTGTATTTGCCTTTGATTGACTTCTAGCTTCAATCTCTAGTCTAGCTATTTCACCGCGCTATCAGGCGGCTGTCTTTCCTCTCGCATATGCAAGTTCCATTGTTTTGGATAACAGTTCTCGTAAAAATTCTGCAATTATCTTTCAGTATGTATATTTTTTTTCTAATCTAATCATGGTTGTTCGTCAAACTCTTGTTTCTGTTTATATACAGAGGAACCCCGCTTTGCGACCACCCCTTTTATACGACCACCTCTTGTCTCACCTCTAGTACGTGAAAATCTCCCAGTCATTTTATTATTCGCTAACATATAGGGCTAAAAGCGAAGCTCCCGTTAATAAATTTATCATTTAAATCAAACAATAAACTTGTAATCCACGAATCAGTTAACTTTAGGGCACGTTCATATGACTTTGAGGCAAATGCGAAGTGATTTAAGAGAAAAATAATTTGTCATGTACAGCCCAAGAGTGAAACAAATTTTACATCGAGTAATAGTCTTATATGTGCACCCAAAAATAGCAATCATATGTTCGATCACAGTAGATTAGGTCTGGAAAACAAATTCTTCCCAAACAAAATAACCCAGTCGCCCACCACCTTAATTTTATAAGGTTAATGCATAGCCTCTCAGACAACTCCGTTCTAAAAAATCAGACCGGATTTTTTGTGTTCGACAAGTTTACTTTACAAGAAACTCTTGGCGACAAATCTGGTGGCGTGTAAACCAGCCCTTTGAATATGCTTTTTCATCACATCTGAGTTAAACAGTACTATGAGGCGCTCTTTTTTTATCATACAGACCTCGGACAGAATTTGTTCTTTTTTTTCCTATTTAAACTTATAATTCTGCGGTTTTTCACAATTTTGCAAGACAAATTGCACTCATTAAATATCCAGGACCATCGAAGCGCGCGCTTCCTTTGCACAACAAATTGTAGCATTGACCACATTATAAAACGTTTTCATGAAGAGAATTCCATAATGCCGGGACTTTTCAGTTAGAAAATCTGGTCCCATGTGATATGCAGGGTAACAACTATGGGCTTTTAGTGAAAACGATAAAAAAAATTCCCAAAATCACCTATACGGCCAGCCGTACGAGTTCTCCCTTCTAACAAGCACCAACTAATTTGCAGTTCAATCTGTCAAACGGGTATGAATGAACATTAATAGAGAGTTTAAGATACCGCGACTACGGACTACGACTACAGTTGAACATGCTACTACGCAAGATCAAAACCACGTGACTGTTCATTTTTCCCACGTAGTCCTGCGGCTACGGTGAGTTGTTGACCTGTTTCGCGTAGTCGAGACTACGGAGAACATTTTGGTCGTATTTTGTCGTCTCGGTAATTCAAGAATCTCGTCTTTTCGTAAAAAAGTTTTCAATTCACCTGCTTTAAGTGAGAGGGAAGCGAAATATGTCAGTTGTGTCTAATTTCTGCTCAGATTTATGCTTTTAATCCATTGTTGTGACTACATTTCATCTAGCTAAGCTTAGAATTTAGATTGACGGCCGAGGAGAAGAGAAGTCATGTAGGTAATTTACTTTCTCTTCGCACTTGAAAAGTTTCAATGTTTGTTCGAACTGATTAGTGTGTCTTTCTATTTGTGTAACCTTTGTTTATGCGAGTTTTTGTATCGCTTTTGCTGAATGAAAATGATGTAAACATCTTCGAGACAATCAAAACTCTGCATTTCAATACTTCAAACTACATCAGATCAGTAGTCGGAGAAGTCCATCTTCTAAATCTAATAAATGAGTTATTACTATTTCTGTCTATTTCTTTAATATTTGACATAAGTATTCATCGGCGAAAAAATAAAACCTGTGTAACCAAAACTTTGTTCACCAATTTCACCCGACGTAATTGTTTCCTTCAAGTATGGAATAATTTGTTCATTGTTCTTAAGATAAGATCACATGCAAAACTGACTTCAGTTTGGGAAAATCGAATTTTTCTATCATACATAGGCATAATTGATCTTCTTAGAGAGCCACTGTTAAGCTCAGTAATCGAACTGGCTAGTTTTCCATACACTTACGTAGTTTCTTTTCGCAGAAAACTGACTCGAAGGCGAAATACAGAGCTGAAAGATCGGGAACACATAAGACGCATGGAAATCATGGCAGCACCCATCTAAAAGATTTTAAAAAATCCATAGACTGCTATGAAAGTGACCTGAAAATTGCGAAAGACCTAGGTGACAGATGGTTGGAAGGAGCGGTGTATAGAAATCTTGGCATCGCCCATTACAAGCTGGGAGAAAGTCAAACAGCTCTAGGCTACTTTGAACGTTTACTGAAAATTGCGAAAGAATTAGGTGACAGATGGTTGGAAGGAGCGGCGTATTGCAATCTTGGCATCGTCCTTAACAGTCTTGGAGAAAAAAATACAGCCAGAGACTACCATGAATGTGCACTGGAAATTTTTAAACAACTGGGTGACAGATCAGGGGAAGGAGACGTGTATAGCAATCTTGGCAACGTCCATCACAGTCTGGGAGATTTTAGAACAGCCATAGACTACTATGAATGTAAACTGAAAATTGTTAAAGAACTGGGTGACAGATCAGGGGAGGGAGACGCGTATAGCAGTCTTAGCAACGCCCATCACAGTCTGGGAGAGTTTAAAACAGCCATAAACTACTATGAACGTCACCTGAAAATTGCGAAAGAACTGGATGACAGATCAGGGGAAGGAGATGCATATAGCAATCTTGGCAACGCCCATCGCAGTCTGGGAGATTTTAAAACAGCCATAGACTATCATGAACGTCACCTGAAAATTGTTAACGAACTGGGTGACAGATCAGGGAGAGTAAGTGTGTATCTCACTCTTGGCCACGCTCATCACAGTCTTGGAGAAAAAAAAACAGCCAGAGACTACCTTGAACGTGCACTGGAAATTGCGAAAGACATAGGTGACAGATGCAGGGAAGTAGAGGCGTATTGCAACCTTGGCATCGTCCTTCACAGTCTTGGAGAGAAAAAAACAGCCAGAGACTACAATGAGCGTGCACTGGAAATTGCAAAAGAATGTCTTTACAGACGGGGGGAAGCGGCGGCGAGTTGCAATCTTGGTACCATCCATAAGAGTTTGGGAGATTTTAAAACAGCCATAGACTACTATGAACGTCACCTGAAAATTGCGAAAGAACTGGATGACAGATCAGGGGAAGGAGGTGCGTATGGCAATCTTGGCAACGCCCATAGCAGTCTGGGGGATTTTAAAACAGCCATAGACTACTATGAACGTCACCTGAAAATTGCGAAAGAACGGGGTGACAGATCAGGGGAAGGAAGTGCGTATGGCAATCTTGGCAACGCCCATGGCAGCCTGGGAGATTTTAAAACTGCCATAGACTACCATGAACGTAAACTGAAAATTGCGAAAGAACTGAGTGACAGATCAGAGGAAGGAGAAGCGTATAGCAATCTTGGCAACGCCCATGGCAATGTGGGAAATTTTAAAACAGCCATAAACTACCATGAACGTCACCTGGAAATTGCGAAAGAACTGGGTAACAGATCAGGGGAAGGAAGAGCGTATGGCAATCTTGGCAATGAGCATCGCGTTCTAGGAAATTTTAAAATAGCCATAGACTATTTTGAACGTGCACTAAAAATTACCAAAGAAATGGGCGACAGACGGAGTGAAGGACCGGCTTATAGCGGTCTTGGTACCTGCTATCACTCTTTAGGAGATATTAAAATGGCCATAGACTACTATGAACGTGCCCTGAAAATTGCAAAAGAATTGGGTGAAAAGGGGGATGAAGGAAGGGCGTACAGCAATCTTGGCAGCGCCCATTTCGGTCTAGGAGATTCGAAAACAGCTATGGTCTATCATGAACTTCACCTTAAAATCGCGAAAGAATTGGGTGACCGATGGGGAGAAGGAAAGGCGTATGACAATCTTGGAAACGCCTTTAACGGCCTTGGGGATCTTAAAACAGCCATAGACTACCATGAACGTAACCTAAAAATTGCGAAAGAATCGGGAGACAGATTGGGTGAGGGAATAGCGTGTTTTAATCTTGGTTATCATTTGGGAAATCTAGGCCAATTTCCAGAGGCTATTGGATATTACCAGCTCGGTATTACTTTGTTAAATGATATCAGGGATCGTCTTCAGTTGAACGACGAGTGGAAAATAAGCCTACGTGACCAATACCAGGGAGCATACGCTTCACTGTGGCGCTTGATGTTAGCAGAAGGCAAGGTTACGGAGGCCTTGTTCTCTGCCGAGCAAGGGCGGGCACAGGGTCTAAAAGACCTAATGACATTGAATTATTCATTTGAAGTGAATGATGCGGGATCAGTTAAAGAAAACGGAACATTTCATGGCCTGTCTAGTTGTCTTCCTCTGAATACAATATTTATGGCGATTGGAAAGAATGAATTATTTTTGTGGGTTTGTCAGAAAGAAAAGGAGGTTAAATTAAGACGGCAAATCAGTTCGCAAGATAAAGTCGAACTTTTCTTTGAGTCTCTTGTGGAGAAAATTGGTGTACGCGATAATGTGGAGTGTGAAGATCGCTCACTTGAATGGGCGAAAGATAAAAGACTAGCAGTTAAAAGATCACCTATACATGGCAGAGAAATCCAGCACTTAGACGTTGAACAAACAGCCTTGAGTACATTGTACGAGACCATCATTAATCCTATACAAGATCTTTTTTCTGGAAATGAACTCGTATTCATCCCGGAAGGTCCACTTTGCCTGGCTCCTTTTGCTGCTTTTAAGAGCCCTGATTCCAAGTACCTTTGCGAATCATTCAGAATTCGCGTGGCTCCGTCCCTGACAAGCTTGAGGATTATTGCGGAATGTCCGCCAGATTACCACCTCAATTCAGGCGTACTTCTTATTGGTGATCCGTGGGTGCAAGATGTAATAGATCTATCGCCGCTACCCTACGCCAGAGAGGAAGTAAATATGATTGGCAAAATGACTGGCTGTACACCTCTTATTGGAAGACAAGCCACAAAAGACGAGATTGTGAGACGACTCGGTTCGGTTGCTTTGGTACACATTGCTGCACATGGCAGCATGGAAGCAGGGGAAATTGCCTTAGCGCCAAAAAGTGGTGAGAAGGACTTCATTTTGACGATGAAAGATGTGAAGCAAGTTCAGCTGCGAGCAAGATTGGTTGTACTCAGTTGCTGCCATAGTGCCCAAGGCGAGATCAAGGCGGAAGGTGTTGTCGGGATAGCACGGGCATTCTTAGGCGCCGGTGCCCGTTCTGTTCTGGTGTCTTTGTGGGCAATTGACGACAAGGCCACTCTTGAATTTATGAAAAATTTCTATCAGGATCTTGTGGCAGGAAAAAGTGCAAGTGAAGCCCTTAACCGGGCAATGAACTGCATGAGAGAATCCACAGAATTTAACGATGTAATTAACTGGGCGCCGTTTGTACTCATTGGTGACGACGTCACATTGGAATTCGATGGTAGCAAATAGATCGCTCATGATGTTGAGGTAAAAGTGCTTTTAATTTGAAACCTGATTTGGCGCTTTACCACCAGATTTTCTTCTTGATTTATTTGTTTTCTTTTTTCTTTCAAGTTTTAAACCTGATAACCATAAAAGTTAATAAACACAAACTGTACCCGCTACATTAAAGAAAAGTATAACGCAAACAAGCGTTACTATATTTATTATAAGGGAGATAAATTCTGCTCTTTGGAAGAGGTTAGTTTTTTTAAAAAACTATGATAAAAACCTTTGAGGACATTGTTGATTTTCATTCCTCGTTCTCAGTCTTCCACTGACTCTTCTTCTTCTTAGCCGGCAGTTGACCTGAATGGCTTGTATGTCGAACTATTTATTGAATTGCTATCAAGAAGATCAAGATCTATTATCTTTTTAAAAAAATATCATTGACATATATTCATTTGTAATACCCTGGCACAGAACTATTATGTTTACAAATTCTTATATTCAGGCCAAATACTCTCGGAGTTTATCAACGACCTAAAACATAGTAGTGACACATTTGTCATGCGAAGACGTGAATCAGGCTTGGATTGGATATGAAACGGTTACCGTTGTAATTTTCTTATTTTTACTACTGACTTGTAAGTCTTGTAAACCAGCTGCTGGGTCTCGGCACACGCTATTAGTCAATACAAGAACGTAACGTTATAATAGACAACGACCACTAGTAAACAGAATAATAAAGCACTATCGATAAGTTTTTTCATCATTAATTTATTTATTTCATTATAATTACTTTTTGCTTTGTAGGTGCGTTCAAGGAATTTGTTTTACGGTCAAATGCAACTCTAGATGTCCGTTTTATAGAGGTTTCCGTGTTACAAAGGTGTCTGTTACGAAATAGTCGACTGTACTTTGTAAAGCAGCTAACTAAGAACAACAAAGAGTTAGTAGGAGTTTATTCATATTCTTTTAGTTTATATTTTTAGCAAAGTCTTTTGAAAAACAAATTCTATTTCCATACATTAAGAATACGCGGATTTTTAGTATACTCTTAGAATGAAGCCTCTCGATTATCTTGTTCGCGGAAAATTGAAAAATCAAAACATGTATAGCTTTTAAGTTGTTGGGGGCTGTCCAATGTGTCTGTTATGGACGGTGCCCACTAATGGGAAGTATTTTTTCCCAGATAATGACTATGTGAGACAAGTAGATCATATCAGGGGCTATTGAAATCCAAAAAGAAAACTGGGGGTAACCACGCATTTTTCAGAGATAACTGCGCTTCAATATGGAGAAAAACGCTGAATAGGCGTTTTTTTAGAAAAAGGATAAAAAGTTATTTTTCCCCAAAATTTCAGAGTGTACACGTGAACTGGCACAAATGCAATGATAATTGTAACAAGGTTTCAAAATAGGCAACAAATGATAACACAACAACTGCTCTTTATACTTCTTTTTTTGAAATATCAGCACAACTGGGAAGTTATGAGCAGTTACCCCTCTCCACGCGTTTGCCTCAAAAATAGTGTAAACGACACTTTCCCCGAACCAAAAATTGATCGTTTGCTGAGTAGGCTTATTACTTTCATTTGGTAAGATAAAAAGTAGGGGTTACCACGCGTTTTTAGAAGTTAGATTGGTTGGTTTCGACCTTAACTTAATCGCTTTGGGGGTTATTTACAATTTTCCCCACCCCCTCCCCGGTCAGTTTCACTATTGCTTCCCTCAACGCGGAGTACTCTGGGATATCCACAATGGCTAACAGTCAGAGAAAACAACAACACATGGAGGAGAGCAAAAACAGAAGGTGAAAACAGGACATTTCATGGACTCTAAGGAAAACAAATTATACTATTTTATTCAACTGGAGCTTCTCCTTCTCAAACATTTAACAAAAATTTTTAGAGAAGAGCAATCTCCAAGGTATTAGAGATTGTGAAAGGTTTGAATCCAGGAGTCATTTCAAAAGTAGATTGGGTTTGATCGTCCGGGTGAACGTAGTCCTGAATAAGACTGTTGTTGTTGACAGTGACTGACGTTTCGACAACCTGTGCGGTAGTCATCTTCAGAGTCAAAGTGAGTTGTATCACGTCAGTTGATGGTATTATACTCTGGTTATTGATTTGATTGGTCAATTACGTCGTGATGTTATTGGCTATGAAGACTCGTAATCAGTAATTGGTGCGTTTCGATCCGTCTATTGTCACAGTTAAACAGTCGTCTATTGTTAGTCAAATTGACGACTGTTAACAACAGACGACTGTTTAACTGTGAAAATAGACGGATCCAAACGCACCAATTGCTGATTACGAGTCTTCATAGCCAATAACATCACGGCTTAACTGACAGGTTGTCGAAACGTCAGTCACTGTCAACAACAACAGTCCTATTCAGGGCTACGTTCACCAGGACGATCAAACTCAACCTACTTTTGTATTAGAGATTACTTGCAGCGCACATAGAGTAGTATGGCGAGCTGAAGATCCACGGCTGGTGTTGTAAACAAACTATTGTACTATAGCGGAAAATAGTCGTCAGGGACTCTTAGACAGGTACTCCTTCAATCGTTTGCTTACCTGTACATGTCCTCAAGATTTTTTGAACTGTAGATGTAATATGGATTGTAACGGTTTTTTTATCGTTTTATCGGTTACCTCGATCGAATATGTTATTAAACTTGCTTACATTCAACGAGCTTATATTTGTTCTTTGTGCTATCTCTTTCGGGCTTTGACGCAAGTGTCATATGACATAAATGATTTACATTGACTCAAGTTCCATACATGAGCTTTGAATAGTGTGAAAGTAGTTGTACCGAATGCGTTTATGTACCCTCATATATGCACTGAGCTATAATGATCATTTTGTATATTTCGTTTTCATTTTTTTACTGTAGCATTCTTTGTCATGATCATTCATTAATTTTCGTTTCTAAATGTTAATTTTAGACTTAACAGTGTCTGTTAAACCTAAGAAAGTCTTAGAATGGAAATACTTTATTTTACCTTCCATCTTTGGTTTGTAAACAGCCAAATGGCAGCTATGTCTAAATGTCCAGATTATGTGTGCCATGAAATTGAACCTTAAGAAATACTATCTAAACGACAAGCTGCCAATGAGTCAATAATTTCAATGCTTAGTAATGGTAAAATGCTTAAAAATGATAATAGTAAAAAGCGTAACAAATTTTTTTTTATCATTTTCTCCACGATGAAAACGTTTCCTTTGCGGTCCGCAACTATTTGTGAAGTTGCGATCTCAGCAATCCTAACAATCTTGGAATAGTTTTTTTTCTTGTTTGTTCAACAAATAAAAGCCTCGGACTCTCAATAAAAGGGACATCTGTATGTACTCGAACGCTTTAAATCTACCTTCTGGTTAATAATTACATAAAATCTTACAAAATTAAAGAAATATTCGGGAAAGTGTTTATCGCCGATTGGCCGATAAAACGTGAGGGACGCGAGTGAAAGGTAAGCTTGTAGTTTCTCGATTAAGAGGAGGACGTAGAGCTATTGTCCTTCTGATTTACTGATCCTTGCCAATTAAGGGATTTTTTTAATACCCAAGCTCTAGGCGTAACACCTTGAAGCAAAAACTTTTGATGTTTTAGAATTGACTTTTGTTTGACTATAAAATGTTCGGTCAGATCGCTCATACGTAGAAATAGCAACATGCACATACTTCTTCGGTTTCAAAGAACTGGCAAGGTAAACAGAAATTATTTTTCATCTGTTGAAAAACGACGCATCTTTTCCACATGAAATAACTCGAACCTCCCGGACTTACAGGAGACAAAACCAGTCCGCGTGTCCTGCGTGTTGCGCATTTCTTTCGTGTCGCGCGCGACTACCTTGGCATGCGCAGAAAATGTGCGCAGTAACAATAGTGGGCACCGTCCTTAAGTACAGGAAAATTTAGCAGGTGTTTTTCCTAAACACTAGCGATTTTACTTTCTTCGTTTAACACACCCAACAAGAAGAAATTATTAGCGTTCTAATTAATTGGATTTATTGATCTTCATAAATAAAAGAATTGTTGAATAATAAGCAATTTTGAACAAACGGATGTTTTCATAAACCTCCCCCCCGGCCCAAAAACATGTACAATATTGATAGTCAGGAGAAATTGGGGGTACCCTTTTTTAAAATAGTTCATGCGGGTTGGGGCAGGGGCTGTGCATGTGTATGTAGTTTCATTCGTGCCCAGTTGTTTGTTTGGCATGTGTAAAAAGGTAACTAGCGCAAAATTTGTCACAAGACCTGTCCATGATAGTAAATCTTTAAATAGAGATCCACAATGAACAAGCTAAGAAACTCAACATTTCCGAAACTACCAACCTTAGGAAAGGAAAAAAGCAAACCTTACCTTCCCCACCTACTTTCCCTAAACAATGTTATTCCACTGCTGATGCCATCTTTTGGAAATAAATATTTGAAGAGAGTTCACTGCCGACGAGGTACTTTTCCTTGGTCCGCGGCTTTCAGTAAGATTTACTCATCCTTTGATTAAGATGCTCAGAAAACATTAGTATAAATTGTTCAGTTTCAGTGTAGCCAGGAAACTTGAGTGAGTCCTTGATAATTAAAGTAAGTTTTTTTCCAAATATGAAGACCTGGTTTCCTCTTTTCTTTTATTGGGCAGTAAAGGAAAAGCTGATAACAATTTTGCTCTCCCAACAGAATTTATCTCTGAAAATATTCACAACTTGATTTGATTAATTAATTAAAGTTAATTTGTCAACAACTTTTACGATTAAGAATTGAGTTTTTCAGAATGTTTACTAAAGCTTAGCAGCTCCTAATTCAAATACTTAGTATTAAGTTTCAGTAATACCAAGATTTTAGCTACTATAGTATATCAAGAGCCATAATAGGACAGAGAGGGACACTCCCAGTCACGACTTTGGGATATCTTAATTCCCAAAAAGTTACTTTTAGAACTATGCAGATGACTTCCGGAGGATTCAGCGCCAAAGCGAGGCCTGGTCAATAAATGAATAAAATGGCTGCCAAAGTGGA